CCAGTTACGTGGTAGTCCAAAATAGGCCTAGGTCGGGCCTGCCTTCACTTAGGGCGGCCGACGTTGCTGATAATAGGGCCCAATAGGGCTTACAGAGGCCTTGTGCCTCGCATTCCCTCCTCCATACTTCGCTAGTCCTCTGAGAAGTTCATTCAATCTGGCGCTTTCCTTTCTGCAGCAACTTCTCGTAGTGGGCGACAACCTGGGGAGTTGTCTGCATCAATTCCTCCCGGGTGAACCATCTATCCTCCTTAGGCTCAGTGTGATGTCTGAACCGAACACGATATTGCAGCTTCAACTTAGGAGGACGTCCCCTGCCGGTTGGTCTTGGAACTGGCAACTCCCTGTGGTCCACGATGTCGTCGATATCAACCTCTCCATCCGTGGTTGGGGGCAGCATTGATCGGCGTGAGGGAAACTGATCAGTTTCCTCGAAAGGTGCAAGCTTGGAGGCGTGAAAGACGGGGTAAGTGTGAAGGTGACCAGGATCTGAACTACATATGAAGGCCCATCCGGATCATCCCCGACAATATCCAGAACCTCCCAGGGTCCAAAGTACTGTGGCATGAGCTTACGGGATATCCCGTGCTATTGTCCCAGTTTTGAGGACTTGACCCAGACTCTGTCCCCTACCTGGAATGTAGATGGGCGGCCGTGCTTGTTCTCCAGATTCTATCATCGCCGCCTGTGCCCTGTGCATCTTCTCTACAGCTTGCTGCATCAACTGTTCAAATCGATATGCAAATTCTAGTGTACCAGGTGCAGCTGTCGGCTGATTGGACTTACCCCTGTTGCACTGTGCACAGCACTGTTGTACAGGCTGGCGATGAGAGCCAGTTTCTCATCCCAGTCCACCCGGTTGGGCTTAATGTAGTGCCTCAGCAGGTGTTGAACAGCGCGGTTCAGCTGCTCTGCTTGCCCGTTTGCCTCTGGGTGGTTCCCGGAGGTCATCTGCAGTTGTGTACCCTGTTCTGCAGCTGCAGCCTTCCACAGTTCACTAGTAAATCGCACGTCCCGATCACTCGCAATAGACTTTGGCAATCCAAAGTCCCTGACCCAGTTTTCCTTGAACAGCTTGATTACGTACTCAATCTTGGCTGTTGCGGGCATTGCGACTAATCTAGCATACTTACTAAACCTATCCACAATGACATAGACATATCGCATTCCACTCTTGCTGGTGACCAGCGTGTCCATGAAGTCCATGGACAGGCTCTCACCGGGCCTTTCCGATATCGGAAGGGGCTTAAGAAGCCCAAGAGGGGCCTGTGTACGTGGCTTGTCTCTCTGACATACCTGACAAGTCTCCACGTACAGCTTGGCGTCTCTCATCACTGTGGGCCACCATCACTGCTGCAGTAAGTTGGCTGCAGTCTTTTTATAACCAAAATGTTATGTGGCATCGTGACACTCTCCTAAAAATAAACTACGGAAAGACTCCCGATTAGGCACACAAAAACGTTTATTCCCGGCCTTCTCAAGGAACAGCAGGCCGTTGACCAACTCAAACTCGGCAGAAGTCGCTTTGTCCTTCGCCTCGAGTCTGGGTATGATCTCAAACATAAACGGATCCTCAGGATAGGCTTCCACCAAAGAACGAGTAACATCGTCCGCAAGCCCAAACTCAGCGATCAGCACACCGAGGAAGTCTGGCCTACACGACAGCACATCAGCAACTCTATTGTACTCTCCTTTAATGTACTGAGGTTCAAAGTCATGTTGTTCAATAACTTCGATCCATCTTTTCAAGGCATCTGAGAGCACCGGCTGGGTTCTCATCCACTTCAGGGTCTGATGATCAGTCCTTACGTAGAAGAACCTCCCAAGGAGGTAGTGCCTCCAATGGGTTAGCGCTTTGTAAATCACATAGAGCTCCTTCTCATAGGTGGACTTAGCCAACTTCTGAGAGGGCATCTTTTTGAACATGTACTCAATAGGCCTCAACTTTGGCCCCTCCTCCTGCGCGAGCACGGCGCCTATGCCATATTGGCCAGCATCCTTGGTTACTATAAACGATTTGTCAGGATCAAGAAGTTTCAACACCTCATGGTGCGTCAGAGCATGCTTCAGATGCCTGAAAGCAGCCTCACACATGTTTGTCCACTCCCACGGGGTGTCAAGGCGGGTTAGGTCCGTCAAAGGGGCGGCCACTATATTAAAGTTCTTTACAAAATTGCGGTAGTAGTCGGTCATCCCTAGGAAGGACCTCATCTCAGTCACAAAATGAGGATGCGGCCAGTCACGAATGCTGGCCACCTTCATGTCATCGGGCTTTAATCCCTCTGCGGAAATCTCGTGACCCAGGTACAAGATCCGGGTGCGGCCAAACTCGCATTTCTCCCCATTGATCTTGAACTGGTGTTGTCGTAGAAGACTAAGGACTTTGTATAAGTGGCCAACGTGCTCCTCGACAGTCCTACGATGATAAGTATGTCATTGAGGCACACGATGACAAACTTGTCTAAGTAGTCATGAAAGATCCGGTTCATGGCGTGTTGAAAGGTGCCAGGAGCATTGCAAAGGCCGAAAGGCATCACCACAAACTCGTACAGACCGTACCTGGTCTAAAAACGTGTACATGGCATCACCACAAACGCGTACATGGCGTGTTGATCCTCAGGTTGTATTGCAATCTGATGGTACCCGGACTTCAGATCTATCTTACTGAAGTATCGACACCCTTGCACTCGGTCCAGTAAGTCATCGATGCGTGATAGGGGCTCTCTATTCTTGACAGTGATGGCATTGAGGCCCCTATAGTCAATGCACATCCTCTAGGTTTCCCGGTTCTTCGGTACAAATAAGACAGGGGATCCGTAAGGGGAAATGCTCGGCCGGATCGAACCCTTTTCTACGAGTTCCTTGAGTTGTCGACGAAGCTCGTCAAGCTCCGCTGGAGACATCCGATATATCCTACCCTTCGAAATAGTAGACCCTGGGATTATCTCTATCGCATGGACGACATCCCTCTCAACAACCCCTTTCAGCTCTTCGAATAGATCAGGGTACTTAGCGACTACTCCCTCTATCTCCAATGGCATTTTCACTGGCTCGCCTGCTGCAGAGACATAAACTAGATACATACTCTCCGCCGGATTTTGCTTATAATAATTATAGAACATGGCCGCACACATGCATCCGTAGGACTCGATCAGACTACTAGCCTTAAACTTACGTAATTTGGTGGTCCCCCCATCGGGCAAAGTGTGTTTGACCACTTTTCAGTCCCAGTCAAACAGGGGTTGTGCAACCGAAAGATAGTACATACCCAACAGGATGTCCATTGGGAGATCATCGCTGACTAGGAACGAGACGTGATGTCTCAGTTCACCTCCCGCGTACGGGAAAAAACACTCAACATCTTTAAGGTAGCCATTGACTAGCATGCGCTGTTTGTTGGCACAAGTCGACTCCAAAGGTCGACTCAGGCGCTGCACTTGCCCCTGTAAGCGCAACCTCTCAACGCACGCTCGACTGATAGTGTCATAATAGGCCTTATGACTATCTCGCCGACGAACAACTCACCCTTAGGGGCTTTAGCCATGGCCGTCCAAGAACGGGTCCGATCTAGACCACTCCTCCTCTAGCTCCTCTAAGGTCTCAAACACATTCATCCAACAGAGGATCGATGGGTCCGAATGTGTTTGCGAGACGACAACGGAGTCAGTAGCTTGGGCCATCTCTCGAGATGGTGAGGGTGTGTCCACCACCTCGACCCTAGCAGGAACAACTACTATTCCTACTGGCCCGACGTGTTTCCCGGAGTTGTGCCAGAACGGCTGGCAACATTGCTACCTAAGGCAGCGGAGGATCCCATCGCCTGCCCCATTGTAGGCGGGATCTTCTCAGTTACCTTCTTGTTTCGGCATTTGAATTGATTATGGCCATATTGGCCACAACGGATACAAGCCTGCCGAGTATACTGATCTCTCCACATGTCCTCGATGAGACCCGCTTTCTCCCATGGAGGAGCATTGGGGTCTACTTGACTCCTAGACCGGGAGCCTCCGCGGCGTCTACCGGTCGCCTTGCCTTTTTGAACTGAGGCAGCGACTGCTCCACCCCCTGAAGCCTCCACGCTGCCTGCCTCTACACCTACTCCCTCATGGAAGTCGTCATCCAACTCGATGGTGAATCCATCGTTGTCGACGAACATTATGAGACCCTTCGCCCTCCAATTGGGAGGCAGTGTTTTCTTCCTTCCATCCGTAGTGGGTTGGTGCCCGTGACCTATCTTTACATCCAGGTCTAGGGCCTTCTTGCTAAACGAAGGAAAGTTGTGCACATTGATGTTAGCCTCTCCTACCAATTGGTTCCTGAGTAGCATGGGAAGACACCTCAGGTAAGTTGTTGGTAAGACTTGGGGGTCATAGCGTACTCCAGGAACACAGATCGGACGCTCTACAACGTCTGTGGCATCCCTCACAGACTTGAACGGTCTGTTGCTCAAAGTCAAGATCACATCAGTGGCCTTTTGGGACTCCTGAGGATCATGCCACCTATCTTCCACCATCTTGAGGAAGTCCTCCAGCTTCTGGTTGACTGCCCAAGCGCGGAAGTCGTGTCCATATCCCTGCAATTGCAGTAGCCCGCTTAACCATCGTGCTGCGCTCCCCTCAAGATAGGAGGCACCCACAAGCACTTCCTCGTGTGGCAAGGTCAACTTGCACTTAACGTAGATTAGCACTGACCTCAACCATGTGTCGAGGTCTTCGCCCCTCTTGTCCCTTGAAAAGGGTTTGGGTGAGGCAATGGCCGTCTTTGGAACCCACTGGCCTTGTCCCCGTACCTGCCCCACTCCGGGTTGTGGACCCTGGGGCGCAAGTTGTTGCACTAACTGTTGTTGGGGTTGTGTGCCCAGTGGTTGTGCTGGCTGCAAGACAACAGGCTGCCCAGTTATAACAACCAGCAACGGAGGTTGGGAATACACTATCTGTACAGGAATCTGTACACTAGGACCTGTTGAGAACCCTCCTATCAATGGCATACCTAGGGAAACGGTTTGGACCGATGCTTGAGGGATTACAAATGGGGATACCCCAGTCACCTGTGGGACAAAAGGAGGAGGTTGTACCATGGGTCAGGCACCAGGCCCTGATGGTGATGGTGCCGCCTGAGCTCGCCCGACCAGCACGGCCAGGCTCTGCTGGATGTCTTGTAAGAGCGCCATTTGGTGATCCTGCATTTCTACCACATCTAGCAAGACCGTCCTCAGGGTCCTCACATCATCATCCACGTTTGTCAGGTCCATCTCCTCTAACTCGCTAATATCCGCTTGTCTCCGCTGCATCCTCGCTCTTCTGCTAATCGTTCTCTTTTTTTCGGCCTTTATTTCTCCTAGAGCCTTTTGAAGTTGTCCCTCTAGCGCATCTGCTTGTTGTATGGCGATCTCTTCGGGGGTCAACACTAACGGCTGGCTTGCCATGACGCAACCAGACTGACTTAGGGTCTGTGCGACTGTTGACCCTACAGTCCCTGAACTACTAGCCTGAGAGCTCTGCTGCGCAGTAGTGGCCAAGGCCGCTGAGGTAGCTGCTTCGCTTGCGAATGCCCTGCTTGCCCTTGCAGCCCTAGCTCTCCGCTGCTGCTGCCGCCTCTCCCTCTGCTGGAGGAACAGGTACCTGTCGCCCTCTGGTCCTAATGCCAAATGGGCTATCGGGCGCCTTGCTGATCACAAGATCCTATCGTCCTCTCTAGTGTCCTCCCTGTCGCTCATAAGCTACAGAACTGCACACCGACTGCACTAGGTCACTCACTTGATGCCTACTGCAACGTCATGCACAGACCGATTTAAAAATATAAATAAATTAATTAACCGGTGGCTATTTCAGAGTCTACGCATTCGGGTCCAACAAGTTCAGATTCCTGCAACTATTTTTACTTAATTAGTCCACAAACAGAGAGCAGACTTCTATCTAATGTTGTCTGTCAGATGTCAATGACAGTCCATCTAAGTAATCAAAAATAAAAATAGCATTGTCTGTGTGGATATTTGCAGAATGGAATTAAACACGAACTTATCACCTGGAATCTACCCCTCCCTCAATTCCTCTTGAGTGTCTCTTGACGTCAACGTTCCTGAGCGATCCAAATAGCGTGTGTGTCTAAAGGTGTGCACACGGCCCACCCCTGTGCCCCGAGCGTATGCTGAGCTGGACAGCCCTGCACTATTTTTATCCTCGCGTGCAGCGAGCCTTACACCGACCACCTGGCTGATCAAGAGGCGTTTAAGGACGGCCCCCGAAGTCCTCAGGAATTATTTAACGTCGCAGACAGGACGACGATCACAACCAATGGAAGGTAACCCCACCGGAGCTTATTTATAGACACCCGGTACTCGTCTCCCCTGTACGGCTGGCCTGCCCCTCATCACCCATCTATAAGTGCGGCAGGCAGCCAAAGGAGAAATCAACAAAGCATGTGTGCTCTACTCCCGGTGGTTTGGCATGGTGACCATGACCCAGTGCTTCGTCCAGGCCCCTTCAGATAGCTCCGCCCTCTCCTTTCAGATGCTCCACGTGAACAATGCCGACTCTCAAGGTTGAGTGCACTCGACTCCTCACATGAGAGGACTCTCAAGACAAAACACACATCCTCACGGTAACAACTGTCGAAGAGGGTAGATAAGGTCAGGTGCAACGTACCTCAAAATAGATGCCCCCAACCACAGACATTCTCACCACATGACCCGATGCCGATTGTGATGACCAATCGCTGCTTCGGCACAACCAGCATTACACTGCCGTTCCACCTCAGCATCAATCGCACATCAGATAGTTCTCATCACACTGCGAACACCCAATATTCACCACATAGCCTTCCTAGCGATCCCCTCTCCTCCTGGGTCGCCTGCTTGCCTTCGCCCTCCTCACGAGTCACCACACACTCTCTACGGCCGCTCACCGAGCAGACCGCATGCATGTACCACATAGGCAGAAGACAAGCGCCAGATGAGCACAACGTACCACAGCTCTGATACCAAATTGCAAGGAAAATGAGCGATAGCGAACTTCAGAAACCAAGCAGCATCATACACATGAGACCAGATAGTCGTGACCTCGAACCAAAAGCAGAATTGCAACACAAGTCCCACCAAATAAGAACACAGCAAAAGCTCATAAGTGACAATGTTGGAATAGTCTCATCATCATCAACAAAGAACCAATGTCGACATCCTATCTGACGCTCTGCGCCCAGACTAGAAATGGCAGATCCTATCTAGCCTATCTACAACGCCGCTGGTGACGTCAACAGCTCCCCAAAGTACGAGCAGATCTCGGCCAATGTCATTCACCTCAAGCACCAGGTATGTCTCTCGTATCACTCACAACCTCGATCCCCCGCTCACAGATGCCACGTAGACCCAAGGACCACCAAGCGCCCCATCCAGCATACAGCAGCGCAGCTCGGCTATGGCTGCCTGCTCCTTCCAGCTCGCCCGTGAGCGCGTGAGCGCGTGAGCGCTGGCCAGCGTTAGCGCAGCATGCAGCCAGTGCCTGAATGCCGAATGCGTGGGCAGGCACTTTCCTAAATGGAAGTGCCCTGCCTGCTTGCATGCAGCCTGGCTCGCTGGGCCCCTGCCCAGAAGCTTCCGGTAGGCCCAGAGAGGCTCAGGCCCAGTCCAAAAGAAACAGGCCCTGGGCCTGTGGTGGTTGCCCGTGTCCAACTGCCCGTGCCCTGTGTTCGGTCCATTTTGCGAATCTGGCCCAGGGCGTGCCTCAATTACATTCGAAAGAGGCAGCCTGGGCCTGGGCGCTCTCAACCAACTGGCGCTGCGCAACTGCCTGAATTTACCCAGTTGCGTGATGACCCCGAAAATAGGCCTGTAGGCCCTGGGTCGAGCCTGCCTTCACTTAGGGTGGTCGTCCGTACAGAAAATAGGGCCCAGTAGGGCAGATTGAGGCCTTGAGCCTCGGACCAGATACTAGGCTACCAGCCGGGCCGCCCAGGTCCTGGGTGCCAGCCCGTGCAAAGACCAGGGAAGGTCCCAGCAAAAAAAAAAAAAAAAAAAAAAA